TGCCTAAAGCTTCCATCATGAGCAGGATGTGGACCTTATCCTGTTCTTCGATAACAACGGGGGGGAAACCCTTTAAAACTGTGCCAGGAGAGGCTCTAATTAAATAAATTAAAGTTATCTCTCCAAAACAGGAATCAGAAATGAAACAAAACAATATTTTTCCCTGATGATCAAGGATGTTCAGATACACTGCTGTTGCAATAATTATCACACGTTCATCCAACAACAAAAGCAAGATGTCGATTCTCGTGCCGCTAATTTGTTTTGAGTTTGTGTCCGTGTTTTCATCTTCCTAAATGTTCCCCCTGCTTTTCTGGACATGAAGTAATTTGACACATTTGGTCACCGCCGTGTGTTGCTTCAGAGGGAATCCTGTCTTTTCATAAGATAGCAATGCTGATTATGTTGTCAACATGGATTTATGTCTTGTAAAAAAACTGCCCGGTCCCCCCTGCTCTCTGTACCCTCTATACTGTTTATTGTAATTTAGAAGGCAGCTGTCATATTGAGTTTTCCCATCATGCAGTATGCACCGCGTGGCTCAGTCAGACTGAATGCAGGGTGTGACTATCTCCCATCTTACACACACTATCTTGATTTATGGATTCAAATTCATATTTAAATTAATAGTCAAAACTGAAGGCGGTTTAAGAAACGTGTTTTTACAGAATGAGCCTGTGGCAGGGGGGTGCGTTCCAATAGTGACACACTGCTGACCCCTCATGGTACTAACAAGAGCAGAAAGCCCTAAAAACAGAAGCAAAGACAGAATTAAAGTGTCTGTCTAACTGTGTCATATATAAGTTGTGAAATCTTATTTTTAGGTATTTTTAAATGTATCATTAATATTTTTCAAAGACCTTCAATAAAACCAAAACAAACATACCAATGAACATTTAAATATGCAGAAAACTACTTAATTAAAATTAAAATGTATTCATAATTAAACAAGCATGTGTAATTTAAAGTTGCAATAGACATGTTTTTTACTTGAAGGGGACCTATCATGCAAAATGCACTTTTGTACGTCTTTTATACATGAATATGTGTCCCCGGTGTTCCAGGGAACTCACCAAGTGTCAGAAAACACAACCCTCTCTCTTTTCCTCCATACCCAAATCTCTAAAAACGGGGCTGCAACGGGTCTGATAAAAACTGATCCAGATTTGAAATTCCTCTGATGTCAGGAACGAGGAGCTCCGCCTATATGGCCAACTCTCCACCTATCAGGGGAATGTGGGGTTGGGCCACGGCCGGCCATTGCCGCTCGAAAGCGCTGGAGACGCTGTAGTACATATGCCAGGCCTGTAAGTGGCGCTGTAGTCTGCCACAAAAGCAGCGAAGAAGACTTCCCGCGCATGGTTGCCATGGTTGCCCTTCTGTTTATTCTCCGCTGTGGCTTTTTTTCTCCCTCCCCGAGGCAAGCGTTTGCTCCTGCTGCTTTAATTCAATGCAATCCCTCCCCGTCGAGGCAAGCACTGTAATTCTCTCCGGTTAGTCCACCAGCAGATGACAAACACCCACCTCTCCGCCTCTTCCAAGGAACGAGGGGACCGTGCGGCAGAGTTTCAGTTAGATTTTCTTTCGCCGGTCAACATGTCCGTTAAAGTTTAAATCTTCCGGACAAAATTAGAAAAGTGCCGGTCAAAGGTCTTCTTTGTTATTTATTGAGCTTTAAAACAAATGAATAATGACTCTATATAATAATATAAGAATAAAACACGGACGACGGAGATCTCTTTTTCTCCCCCTCTTCTGACAGCCCAGCAGCTGATCTCAAAGCACGCTCCCCTCTCCTGCAGGGGGGCGTGGTCAGCTGCAGCTCATTTGCATTAAAGCTACGTCACAGAATCAGCCCTTGCAAAAACAGGGCTGGAAAGAGCAAATAGAGCGAAATGAGGCATGGCTAAAATGCAGGATCTGTTTGGTATTTTGAAAAAAAAAACTTTGCAGACATGTTTTATATAGGTATGGCCCTACAATATATTATTCAAATATAGCATGATAGGTCCACTTTAACTTGTCATAATGAAGTATTGATTGCACAATATAATGGCAGTGGGTATACATATAATGACACTATCGGCTTTTAGATTGGTTCCCTATGCCTCCTTATACTGACTACGCAATTCTGTCTTCTGCCATTTCCCTGATGAATAAAGGCTTGACTTTTGGCAACCATTGCGCTAACAAAACAGAAAAAGGCTAGCACTTTTGTTTTGCCACAATATACTGTAGCTCCATGGATGTATAAAGAAAACTCTTATGAAAGTTGATCAGTGGCGCATGAAGCCCAAACAGTTTGACTGTCAGTTGTAAAATGACCAGGGTCTTCCACATCCAAACTAACTCTAGATTCCGCAACTTTTAGCCCTGATGATAAAGGTTTTAGCAAGGGGTCGTCCTGGGAATTTGATTAATCCCTAAAATCTATGCTTATTTACAGAGGTCTCTTTCACATGTGTATGGAAAGCAGTTTTGTTGGGCCAAATGGCATCACATGACATGCCACTATAAAAAAATTGTCTTCGGCGCTCCAGGGGGCTTTGGTAGTTACCGGTAGCCATCAGTTACCGAAGAGTATTAATGTAAGGTACTCTCATCCCCTTTAGCAAAATGGCAGATAGTGGAACCACAGAAGTATCTTTGGAAAATAAAGTGCAGTGTATTCTGTGTTGATATGCTAACAGCAGCGCCAGCAATGAGGAGGAGTTGTCGGCTACTATTTTAGATTTGTGAAATGAGGATTCCACTAGCTTTAGCAGGCCTAGCTTATGTGGTGTTACTCCATCATTATTTAAGATTTAGCCAGTCTTATTTATTTGGTATGATAGATTTCACTAGTTGTTGAAACTCATACAATTGTTTTATTATCAGAAAATAGAAACAATTAGTAAATTAGCTTAAGCTAATGCTATCTCAGCAGCTAGCCTTGGTGGCAGGAGTTCAGCCATTTTGGTTTGGTTAAAACCTGTTTCCCAGTTCTGTTTATGTAAATGTTTCATGTTTCAAGAAAATACATTTGTATAAGATAAGATGTCAAAAAGACCAAATATGAACTGTGTTTAGGTTTTGTACAGCAGCACAAATGGATGGCATTCAGATCCAGATGCAACATGCTAGTTTTATGACAAGAAGAACATTTATAATTGAATTGAAAACGGTCACGAGGCTCAGACGTGGCAGCAGTGTCAGGGCAGTGATGGTGTAACACTTTGTGAGTCTCTCCAAAGAGAGCAATTTAAATCACTGACAGCATCCGTCCTGTACAGCTCTTAAAATATGATCAGATCAATGTTTTCATTATCAAGCATCATTCATTTTTAATTATTAAAGGACCAAGTCAACTCAACAGAACCTGACAAGAACATGTGAAGTACCACAATCATACATTGACAGTAAAGTAGGAACTCGTGAAAAGCTTTAATTTGAACTGTGTCGTGTGCAGTGGTGGAATGTGGTAAAGTGTATTTACTTAAGTACTGTACTTAACTACAATTTTGCGATACTTGCGCTCAGGGCCGTCCCTCCCTACAGGCCGATCATGCAGACTGCGTGGGGCCTCATCTTGCGGAGGGGGCCTCAACTGAGCCGAAAATGCGGCGCACCTATGCGCTTATGCGGCGCAATTAGTGCCACTAGCAACCCCCCCCCCCCGCCGACGCTCGCAAAACAGAGGGCCTCCTCATATAACTTTGCGTGGGGCCTCATGTTGGCCAGGGACGGCCCTGCTTGCACTTTATGAGGATTCTCACTTAATGCTATACTTTATACTTCATACTCATTATTGTACTTTTTACTCAAATACATTTATCTGAGAACTTTAGTTACTTTACAAATTCAGATTTTTAGTTAACACAATAAATCGAATGATGAATAAACATTTACATATGATCAAAGGTTAACACACATCCAGCAGCAATGTTTTAAGTAATTAAAAAGAACTCCATCTTTAACAGCTGTGATGAACACATCAATAATCATAATCCAGAAATTGAATATATATGATTCTGAAATTGGCCAATAAATGAGTACTTTCACTTTTGGTACCTATATTGTTATGCCAATGTAGGATATTAAATGGAGGACTTTTACTTGTAACTGAGTATTTTTACAATTGAGTAGCCTATTGCTACTTTTACTTAAGTGTGAAGAAATGTGTACATCTTCCACCACTTGTTTTAGAAAATAGTTAAAAAGAAATGCAAAAACTGCTGAACATTTACATTTTTGGGTGATAGTTTGGCAGTAAACTCAGTTCAACCTTTGTGTTCATGAGCTTTGCAGCATGTTGCCTGTTGGGTCTTTGTTGATGAGCTAGCCCTCATCCGTGGACACAGTAAGTGTGACCTTGTGCAGCTTTGAGCTGTCTCAGCAGAGCGTCTGACCGGGCGGCTGACGCAGCGAGACGGCTGCCTGTTTGGGGACAGAGGGTGTATGTAGGTCAGCCATGGGCCGCACGCTGTGACAGCAGCACGGTCACTGTGCTGGGCAGCAGGACAGGGATCGGAGTGGACAGAGAGCCGGCGTGGAGAGAGGGGCCCCCTCACACGTCAGCACCGATACTTCCTCATTTGGCCCCTTAAACACTTTGACATTATCAGGCCACACAGAGCTACGTCCACCCTCATTACTCTCACCTTTGGTACTACTGCAAAATGGGCAAAGAGCAGCTAGAGAAGAAGAAATACTGAGCAGACATCAGATCATGGTGAGTGTCTGAAAGGTTGGGATGGTCATTTGATGGGTGGGAGTCCTGTCCATGTCAGCACATATAACACTGGTGATGTTCAATTACCACAATGTTACAGGTCTGATAATACAGAGCTGTGTCAACACTGCCTGATTGTAATAATAAGAAACAGGCAACACAATTAACTTGTTTAGATTTTAAAATGGCAAGAATTAATTAAAAAAATGTGCAGAAATATTACTCTCCTGAAGTGCACATACAAACAGAATAAATATGAAGTATCTATGTGTATTCATCACACAGCCAATTAGTTCTTATAATAACACATATTTTATTGAAAAGAGAACATTTCCAACACAAGCTATTATAGTCCATACATGATGACACACTGCCCTCTAGTGGCTCAAACGCTGTGGCTCAGATAATCTATCAACAATGAACAATGCACCATAAAAGGTCACTAATATTATCATTTTATTTTTGGAAAACGTTTAAAGAAACAGCTTTAGTGAGAACAAAAAATTACTTCTGCAGGAAAATATACAAGGATGCAGTTTTAGTTTTACAAATGTCATTGCTGTAGGTGTGTTTCTGAAATGTAACACGTCTGGTGAACATATAATAAACGAGGAGATCATCGGTTGTAGGGATGCATCGACCCGGATGCAGATTTGATGTTTGTTTTGATGCTGCTTGGTATTTTTCCTGAGAAAGAAAAGAAAGGGAGAGAATAAATAATATGCAACAACTTCAAATTCGACTCATTTGGAACATATCCACTTTTGTTGCAGTTAAGTAAAGAGTACCCTTGAAATATTCGGGTTAGACTAAATCAAATATTTTCGTTGGATCGATCTATTCAGCTTTAACTCTGCAATAATTGTTGTCTAAATAATATTGTTTAAAAAAAAAAAAAAGAATATTATTATTTTGTACCAAATCTTTCTTCTTTACTTCTTTATGTTTTAGTCTGCTATTGAGATGTTCTGAATTTTAAAAAAGTCAGACAATCAGCACCCTATAAAAAGAAACTCCCACACAAAATCCTCCACCATTGAATGAAACAAGTCATTTTCTCTGATGTCTTTTTGGCTTAATAGCAACATATATGGATCGATGGATTAAAGCAGAATATTTCTGTTGATGAAAACATGTTGTGTATCTTGGAAGCGATTGCATCTTTTTATTTGTTTCTTTTTTTAACTTTATCTGCAACTGTGCACACAGCTTTAAACATGAGGAATAAATGCAAAATAAAAGAAAAAAGAAATCTGCGCAGACTTTGAATATGAATTGAAAATTGAATATCACCGTTGTGAATGAAGCTTCAAACTTTTCAGTATAGATTTAGGTCTATTCCTTACAGAATGTATCATTTAACATTTACCCTGCATTTATTCAATGATTTACATAGAAATGGAACGTCAAGACCCTGTCCATCTCAAACTTATTCACATCTTTAAATAGGGGAATTTAAAGTGTCAACTACTAGTTCAAATAGAAAAACACACATGAGGATAAGAAGGGGCCTAACATCATTACGAGTGTTCTGAACAGTGAGACAGGAGAACACTAACCCAGCTCTCCAGGCCTCCTACCTGGCTGCCCCTGCTGCTGAGGGGCCACGGGGCCTCCCATACCTGCCTGCTGGCCAGAACCGCCCCCGATGGTGACCTGCTGTAAGGTGGGACCTCCACTCATCATGGGCCCTTGTCCTGGGTGTCCAGGGGCCACTGGGCCTGGGGGCCTACATTTAGAGAGCCCCTTCCCAAACGCCACCGCTCCAACCAGTGCATTGGTGTCCGCGGGGTTAAAGGACGGCTTGCTCTGACGGATTGCTGGGAAAAGAACATATTGAGTGTCAACACGTTTAAGTGTATAAATACATTTGAGATGAAGAGCCGGACATTGAGAGTGAAACACACCGGCACTCTCTGAATCTCTGTCGTCACGGGGATTGTTGAGCTTCTCTAGCAGATTGGAACACAGTTTGTTCAACGTCTGGATCTGTTTCTGTTGAGAAGAATATCATCGGGGGGGGTTTCAAAATGGAAAAAACTCTCGGCAGTAAGCAGTGTTTGGCAAATGACTTCATACTTGTAAGAGCCAACTCAAGAGCCACTTTTTTGTCTTTTAATTTAATTGTATTCATTCTTATTTTATTCTTATGTTATACTGTCCTGTGTTGGTATTACATGTTATTATTTATGGGACTTGGCTTTGGAACTGGAGGCTGGCCGTTTCAAGTCCCCTAACAGACCAAATAAGGGAGTGTGGACTGGTACTTGGAACGGTCCCAGTTCACATCCTGGGCACTGACGCAGTGCCATTGAGCAAGGCACCGGACCCCCCGCCCCCCCATTGCTCCCTGGGCGCTGTAAAATTGCCACCCACTGCTCCTAGTACTAGGATGGATGCAATGGAGAGGTCAAATGTGTGTGTGCGGTGTGTGATCTACAGGTATGTGACAAATACAAACGTTTTCATTCCTCTGTTTCTAATAGGAAAATATATGTTCAATTGTTTGTTACCTGAGAAAGGGGGGTTTATGTCTTAGGTTTGTGAAGCACTTTGTGTTACCTTTGTGTATGAAAAGTGCTATTTAAATAAAGTTTGAAATGATTTGAAAGTTCAACATGTTAGTTGAGTTTCACCATTCTAGATTCTATCTTTTAAAAGTTCTACGTAATTAATTAAAGATATTCTACAACTACATTAACATATTTGAAACTTCCTTTCATGGAACATTTAAAATAAATAATGTTCATAATGAAACATTGACTATTCCATAACTACATTGTCCCCAAAGAGTCACCATGTTACTGAACCATCTTGGTGTTATTGAGGTTGTTTTCTCCAAAACCTATTTTGGACTTGCAGCAGTTGTAAATGCAGTTGACTTCACGCACACTCATCAGCCAATCAGATGAAAGCAGCCAGTTTCAACCAGTCAATTGGTGTTTTCTTATATTTAAGTCCAGCAAACTGCTTGGTATTTCTGAATATGAGTAGGGCAGCATCCATGTGAGCACCATCTGACCTGTGCCACCTCCGGGCCAATCCGTGCTGCCTCCACACTCAGCTGTTTCTCCTGCTCCTCCACCTCTGGATCAGGCTTAGTCCGCAGGTAGTCTGGAACAATCTCATGGCTGAACACCGGGACACGCTGCTCTGTGAGTTTCTGTGGGGAGAACAAGCAGAGCCAGAAACAGACAGGTCAGAGAGATGTCTTCAAAATCACATCAGAGGAGCAGAATGCAGACAGCGGCTTTGACACTCACTGCTAAGTCCTCATCCCGGTCTGGAGACAGGAGCAGAGGGATTATTACTTGGTTGCGAAAGGACGGCGTCTTCTCGTTCTTGAGCAGTTTGTTGATGGTGTTCAGCTGACCAGAGAGCAGAGCAAAGTTGTCCAGAACCGACGGCCTGAATGACACAAACACACATTATCACATCATGTCAGAGGGAAAATGATTTCCAAACAATTTGATGACAAAAAAAATCACATAAGAAATTAGGAGATGTTTCATTGCATTGCTTTTACGCAGTAGAAAATGTCCATCCACTCACCAGGCAGTGCTTACATATTTATTTGAGAAGGTTTAATTAGTTATCCACAAAAAAATATAATTAGATGTTGTTTCTTTTGATATAACTTAATTCAATCTTTACTAGAGAATTCGACCAGAGAGAGAGAGATTGGTCATTCAGAAATGCAGAGGTGGAAGAAGTACTCATATTTGTTACTTAAGTAAAAGTAGAAATACTACATTTTAAAAGTACTTTGTTTGAATGTCCTGCATTCAAAATCTTACTTAAGTAAAAGTACAAAAGTATTAGCATCAAAATATACTTAAAGTACCAAAGGTAAAAGTACTCCTTATGCTTTAAGGCCCATTTCTAAATCGTATATATATATATTGAGTTACTTTTATTATTATTCATGTGTTTTAATCACAACTGGTAAATGTAGAGCTAGTTTGAATAACTTTATATAAAGTAGCATAAACTGGAAAAACTCAGGTTAGGTATAAGTAACTCTAAATTGTACTTAAGTACAGTATACGAGTAAATGTACTTTTACTATCCACCACTTCTGAGATGGATGTTGAAGCTGGAATGGTAATAAGGTATCTTGTTGCAGGTGTCTGAAAGACGAACATTCATATTAAACTCAGTGTGAGTCAAATCAAAATGCTCAAATGTCAAACATTCCATTATAGTGCAGCAACAAGTCTTTGTGTAGTTACATACAGTGGAGGAAATAAGTATTTGATCCCCTTGCATCCACTCTGGCTCCCTAAGACCGGTTACATAAATCCTCTGCCTTTAAAAAAGTATCCTCTCCACCATGGGCAAGACTAAAGAGCTGTCTAAGGACCTCAGGGACAAGACTGTAGACCTGCACACGGCTGGGACTGGCTACAAGACCATCAGAAAGCAGCTTGGTGAGGAGGAGACAACTGTTGGTGCCATTATTCAGAAATGGAAGAAACACAAAATGAGCATCAATCGCCCTCGGTCTGGGGCTCCACACAAGATCTGGCCCCGTGGGGTATTGATGATCAGGAGAAAGGTCTGGGATCAGCCAAGAACTACACAGGAGGAACTTGTTAATGATCTCAAGGCAGCTGAGACCACAGTCACCAAGAAAACTATTGTGAACACACTACACCATAATGGATCAAATCCTGCAGCGCCTGAAGGCCCCCTGCTCAAGAAGAACATGAGAGGCCCGTCTGAAGTTTGACAATGAACCTCTGAATGATTCAGAGAAGGCTTGGGAGAAGATGATGTGGCCAGATGCCGTGTTTGGAGGAAGAGAGATGCTGACTATAACCCGAAGAACACCATCCCCACCGTCAGGCATGGAGGTGGAAACATTTTGCTTTGGGGGTGTTTTTCTGCTAAGGGGACAGGACCACTTCCTGCATCGAGGACAGGATGTACGGGGACATGTACCGCAAGATCTTGGCCGATTGTCTCCTTCCCTCAGCCAGGACACTGAACATGGGTCATGGAGGGGTCTTCCAGCAGGACAATAAACCTGAACATACGGCCAAGGCAACACAGGAGTGGCTAAAGAAGAAGCTCATTTAGGTGAGGGAGGGGCCTAGCCAAGGTCTCCAGACCTTAATCCCATAGAACATCTGTGGAGGGAGCTGAAGCTTCCAGACGCCAAGCATCAGCCTCAACACCTGAAGGATTTGGAGAGGATCTTCAGAGAGGAGTGGACCAACATCCTTCCCGAGATGTTCACAAACCTGGAGACCAACTACAAGAAGCGTCTGACGTCTGCAGCGTCTGATGTTTTGCAAGGGGATCAAATACTTATTTCCCACAGTTAAATGCAAATAAATTGTTATCTTTCATATAATGTCAATTTCTGGATTTTCTTTTTGATATTCTTACCCTCAATGTTAAAACAAACCTACCATTAAAAATATAGACTGTTAATTTATTTGTAAGTGGGCAAACTTACACAATCTGCAAGGGATCGGTTATGATAATATAAATTATCTTGTATTGACAAGTTAAATGGCACAAACTAATATATTTTGTTCATTAAAAAAATGTCCTTACCATGTTAATCGCTCGTACTCATTTTCCAGTTTATAAATGAAACTATGGAGAGCGTTTTTCACGTGAGCAACCCGAGAGATGAGAGACTCCACCGCCGCCTCCAGCTGCTTCTCCTCCCGCTGCTGAGGGGAGAAAAGAGCAAAGCTGTCTGATAAATACTCACACTTAGCACACAAAATAATAAGGACAGGCTTTGTTCACCAAATAAATGTCCGTTTAACTCTATAATAAGTAGGAATTCATTGTAATGTTTAACTAACAAAAGCGAGTTTTAAAGCAAACTAGTTTTTGTCTCATTTAGCAAGCTAGCTACTGCTAGCTGTAGTCTACACATACGTAAACCAGGAGCAAAGTATACAAGTATGCGAGTACAACTTAAATTAGAACGCATGTGAAAATATATAAAAGTCGCATACTGTAAATGGATATAAAGGCATTTCAATAATATTACCTGCATTGTTGAACTACAAGCTAAACGCCGAAATGATAGTGTACCGTCCAAGTAGAAACACTTCCGGTTCAAGATGTCAAAATAAAAGCATGGAATTTGTTGATACACTTTTTTTTACTTCACAGAAATGCAGGGTCGGCGTCATGGGGGGTCATTCGCGGGCCATGCCCCCCCAACGCAGGGCGGGCAAGCCTTGCCACTTTGCCGTTTTCTTCTTTTTTTTTATCATATAAGTGAAAACGTTTCCACTAAAAGTTTTTTGTGTGAAATATATGGGCTTAGATATGTCTCATTATTTGTGTGAACATAAAAATAATTTGTGTGTAAATATGTGATTTGTAAATGTAAAACACCATCCACAAATGCATTTAAAAGATTTGCAAACTCACAAATAAATTTGCAAATGTAAAACGGATCTTTTAGAAATAAAAAAAAGATCTTTGAATATCTCTTTAACATTTACAACTTTCGATCAGGCATTTGTGAATCCATTTTGTATTTGTCGACCAAAAATGCGCTTGTGGGTCTCACATTTCTGCTTGTGGATCTCAAATCTCTGCTTGTGGATCGTCTTTTTACACATGGAGTTTTGAGACAAACTTTCCTCCGGTCTCGGCTAAAATCTACTCGTGTCACTCGGTTATTTTCGGAAAACACATGATGGCCGGCTGATGACGACATTTCCGCATGGTTTTCAAAGTAAAGGTGGGGTAGGTAATTTTGGAGAAACCAGCTCGAGTGCGCTAGAATTTGAAAATACACAGCCGGAAGAAATCTGCTACTTCCTTACAGAGCCCCTCCTCCAACACACACGAACGCATACATGACCAATGAGGGCACGAGATAAATGTGTGCACAGATGGAAGGCTGACAGGCAGGTAGGCCATCCAGTTATTTTAGCCGGGCCGGCTAAAATGATTGGTCGTGCTTTTTACAGTACTACGGCTTCCACAGATGACATCTTTTTATGGATTTTTTTGTCAAAGCACTTAAAATATTTATTGCTATCGGGATGTTAAGAGCATTCCATGGAATATAACAAAAAGTGTATCTCGAGCCGGTTTCTCAAACTTACCTACCCCACCTTAAGAGCATGATGTTTTTGTATTATAATGAACAGCGGAACGTTAGATGCATTCTTTATCACCATCATCATCATGTTATAGTGATACAGTTAGTTTGTGTTAGTTGGTTCAATACAGCATATATCAAGCACATTCGTATGCATTAATAATAATAATAATAGATTTATTTTGTTAGCGCCACTTTTACAGGTGCTCAAAGTCGCTTTACAAAGATAGTGAAAAGAAAAGAACAACAAATAAATACAGTTAAAGTCAAATTAAAATCAAGCAATACAAAAACAATCACACATTAAAAGCCAGATTGAAGAGGTGAGTTTTTGTGAGTTTTTTTAAAGTGGACCTATCATGCTATATTTAAATGATATATTGTAGGGCCATACCTATATAAGGTATATTTATTAGGGCTGTCAAGTTAACGCGTTAATAACGCGTTAACGCAAAAAAAAATTAACGCCACTAATTATTTTAACGCGATTAACGCATGTGTATTTTTTGTCCTCGGCCGCCCCGTAGTTTCAGAGCGCATCGAGTTTAAAATACCATCTACATGATGATGCTGACAGCCCAGCTCCTGCCGCCCGCTTGTGGCAGACCACACTTCCACGCTCACCGGCAGGCCCGGACTGGCCATCGGGAGGACCGGGAGGGAGTGTGTATGTGTAGCGCGACTCGCGCGAGCGAGGCACACCTTACGTGTTGTTGTTGTTAGCATCTGGTGCTAGCTAGCTGCGCTAACGGATATAAGGAGCTGTTTCAATGACATTTCGCCGACAACTGCGCCGAGCACTTGACTTTATGCAGGTAGCCAGACAGTGGGACATTGTACGAAAAGTCAGCGCACTCAGCACGGATAGTACGCGCGACATGATTGCAGCGTCCAGGCAGCACACGTTCGAGCATATATGCCTTGAGCGGCACATAGCTCCAACGATCCTCCACATTCATTCACACACACACACACACACACACACACACACACACACACACACACACACACACACACACACACACACACACACACACACACACACACACACACACACACACACACACACACACACACACACACACACACAATTATTGTATGAGAGGTTCCAGGTTGAATTGAGGCGAATATTTGTAATGTTCAGAGGTTGTTGTGTTTAATATTCATGAGAATATTTGTCATTGTTCAAATGATAATAAACAAACATAAAGCATATTTGTCCACTCATATATTGATAAGAGTATTAAAAACTTGAAAAATATCCCTCTAAGGTACATTTAGAACAGATAAAAAATGTGCGATTAATTTGCGATTAATCGCGATTAACTATGGACAATCATGCGATTAATCGCGATTAAATATTTTAATCGACTGACAGCCCTAATATTTATACGTTTCTGTTTCAAAATACCAAACAGATCATGATTTTAAGCCATGCCCCATTTCGCTCTATTTGCTGTTCTCCAGCACTGTTTTTGCAGGGGGCTGATACTGTGAGCTGCAGCTGACCACGCCCCCCTGCAGGAGAGGGGAGCGCGCTCTGAACAACACACTTTCACTCCCTAAGCGTCCAGGAGCGACGCTTGGTCAGGGTCCCGTGGCGTCCAGTTGTGACGCGCCGAGGCTCCTTCAGCTTCATAAACGGACGCAAAGAGCTTTCAACTGATTGCAATGTATTCCCATCGGCGTCGGTATTTGACGTCATTGCATAACTACACCGTAGTTGTGTATAATATATGTCAATAAACCTTAGATCAAATATAAAAGTCAGCCGAATTAGTGTTGATACTGCAAGGAGACGTATTGTGTGAAAAGAAATGTAAGATGTTTAATTGCTTATATATTTAAGATCCACGTCAAGTTTTCAGTTTTGGCGGCAGTTCCCGTTTGTCTAGAAGTCTTGTCATCAGGGCTCTATAAATAGAGTTAACTATGGCAGATATGTCATATTTAATGCAGCCGAAACGTGTATTACAATGCCGTTATGTGATGACTTTCAAAGAGAAAAGCAAGCACAATCGGAATAATGTATTATTTAATTTTTTTATACAGTCTATGGTTGCTACAGAGGATTGTGGGTAATGTAATGTCTTCGGCCATCCAAAACTCATAGAAAACGACTTGTTTCTCAGAATTGAAGGGGAAAACGTGACAAAAGCATTGTACACACACTAAAACCTATCAATGTCGTTTAATTAACAAGGATAATCTGGTGTTTTTGAGTTGATGAGTAGTGGAGATATCACTGTCAAATCAATCGACAGTAAGGGGAATACTTACTTCCGGGTGTACAATTCTCCGTTATCCAATGGGAATGGACGCTCACATTGCCTTTAACAGCCTCCGACACAAACGAATGCCGTGCTTCCCTAAGCGTCAAATACCGACGCCGATGGGAATACATTGCAATCAGTTGAAAGCTCTTTGCGTCCGTTTATGAAGCTGAAGGAGCCTCGGCGCGTCACAACTGGACGCCACGGGACCCTGACCAAGCGTAGCTCCTGGACGCTTAGGGAGTGAAAGTGTGTTGTTCAGAGCGCGCTCCCCTCTCCTGCAGGGGGGCGTGGTCAGCTGCAGCTCACAGTATCAGCCCCCTGCAAAAACAGTGCTGGAGAACAGCAAATAGAGCGAAATGGGGCATGGCTTAAAATCATGATCTGTTTGGTATTTTGAAACAGAAACGTATAAATATACCTTATATAGGTATGGCCCTACAATATATCATTTAAATATAGCATGATAGGTCCACTTTAAAAAAAACTCACAAAAACTCACCTCTTCAATCTGGCTTTTAATGTGTGATTGTTTTTGTATTGCTTGATTTTAATTTGACTTTAACTGTATTTATTTGTTGTTCTTTTCTTTTCACTATCTTTGTAAAGCGACTTTGAGCACCTGTAAAAGTGGCGCTAACAAAATAAATCTATTATTATTATTATTATTAATGCATACGAATGTGCTCGATATATGCTGTATTGAACCAACTAACACAAACTAACTGTATCACTATAACATGATGATGATGGTGATAAAGAATGCATCTAACGTTCCGCTGTTCATTATAATACAAAAACATCATGCAAGGTGGGGTAGGTAAGTTTGAGAAACCGGCTCGAGATACACTTTTTGTTATATTCCATGGAATGCTCTTAACATCCCGATAGCAATAAATATTTTAAGTGCTTTGACAAAAAATCTGTGGAAGCTGTAGTACTGTAAAAAGCACGACCAATCATTTTAGCCGGCCCGGCTAAAATAACTGGATGGCCTACCTGCCTGTCAGCCTTCCATCTGTGCACACATTTATCTCGTGCCCTCATTGGTCATGTATGCGTTCGTGTGTGTTGGAGGAGGGGCTCTGTAAGGAAGTAGCAATTTCTTCCGGCTGTGTATTTTCAAATTCTAGCGCACTCGAGCTGGTTTCTCCAAAATTACCGACCCCACCTTTACTTTGAAAACCATGCGGAAATGTCGTCAACAGCCGGCCATCATGTGTTTTCCGAAAATAACCGAGTTACACGGCGGAAAGTTTGTCTCAAAACTCCGTGTGTAAAAAGACGATCCACAAGCAGAGATTTTAGATCCACAAGCAGAGATTTGAGATCCACGAGCAGAGATTTGAGATCCACAAGCAGAAATGTGAGACCCACAAGCGCATTTTTGGTCGACAAATACAAAATGGATTCACAAATGCCTGATCGAAAGTTGTAAATGTTAAAGAGATATTCAAAGATTTTTTTTTTATTTCTAAAAGATCCGTTTTACATTTGCACATTTATTTGTGAGTTTGCAAATCTTTTAAATGCATTTGTGGATGGTGTTTTACATTTACAAATCACATATTTACACACATCAAACATATCTAAGCCCAAAGAGCTAAGACGCAAGGAAGGGACGCGGGTGAGAGAAAGGAGGAGGTGAAATATTAAATTGAGATGAACCTAGGGGCTTGATCGGGGCTTGACCAACGTCGCTCAAAACGGCTCAATAGGCATACTGTAGACACTAATTAGAAGAACACAGACTAAAACAGCAATGTACAGACGAATCAAGATGATTAAACATGATCGTAAAATATATTTTAAGATGGTTTTTTTTTGCATTTATTTGTAATTATTATTTTAATACTTTCTGCTGACACTAGGTGGGGCGATACCCCACCTGCCCCTAATGACCAGTCGCCACTGAATACAAAGAATAACTGTCTTATTTTAAATAACAGGAAGAGCTTCATGGTGATTTCTAATAGTTGTGTCATCCATTGTTCTTAATTAATCTTTTATGAAAAGTAAAAAAGCCTGCAGGCGTTTTTTATTAAGCAGTTAGTTTGACATATAGGCATGTGTTTATTTATTTGGTTCATAGAAAAGTAGGTCCACTGGTTGCCTAGAGATAGTAAAGTATTCACTTCTTACATGGGCATTTGAAACAAATCTGCCCCTCCAAAAGTACAAAGCATACATAGTGCAAAGAAAGTGCTCTCATGTGTGTTGCATAGCACATGACTGAAGCCAGAATTATTTGATGACAGTTCTGCATCAGCAGCGTACAGTTGGTGAGTTCTAGAAGAGACTGTCCACGTCGCCCATTTCCACAACCACAGTCTTCAGCTGGGAGTAGTACTCGATGGTCACCTGGCCGTTCTCTCTGCCGAAGCCTGGGGAATATCAGCAGAGGTGTTAACACGCCCAGAGCTATTCAGTAAGAATATTTAGTCTCTCTAAACAACAGGGTTCCCAAAGCATTATTTGTTTGGGGGCCTCTTTACTTTTTGTAAAACATTAAACCGCTGAATTGTTTATAAATCCACAAAACAGTTTTGAGAAGGAGGTGGAAATAGCATATCTTTCAAGATTACTGGAAATGCAAAATGAAATAATTTAAAGCAGAAGCAGAAGGAAACCATTCATTCATTTTTCAACAAAATTAAAGTGTTTGTAAATTTCATTCATTATTGACGGTAATATATATGCCAAAGCAGCATTTGTTTACATATTTATAATTTACACAGCATAACAATGCAAATGTCAATTGCTATAAAACCTGACCTAATCATTTTTTTCATTTGCTCTCCAAATAAAATGTCAATAAAGTTACAATCAATACATTTTGACAGAATATAATTAAAGTCAAGTTGTTTCACACAAAGAATTATATCCATGTATGTTAACAGTATATTATATCAAAATGTCCTATAGACAGCTACAAGCATTCTCTCACTGGGCTTTAAATGTAAAACACCACTAGGGGGCGACAACTGTAGTCTGCTCCGATGAGCTTATTCATATATTTTCTCTGCTTTTCTTTGTATTTTTAATTTCTCCTCTCTCGCTCACATTGCAATGCTAATTTCCAGTCAGCTATTTGATATCAATATGAACTACCACTGCTATTGATGAGCTGTATGTCTAACAATGACAAAAGTGGTGACTGACCACCTAAACACCCTACCTGACATCTTGTACCCTCCGAAAGGCACCTCCACAGGGCTGATGTTGTAGTTGTTGATGAAGCAGGTCCCTGCTTGCAGGTTCTCAGCCACACGATGGGCTCGAGAGATGTCCCTGCATGCAGAGGAAAAGAACATGTTTCTGACTTCGAGCACAAAAGGGAGTTACACTTCTGTATGCAATGTGATCACACAGCTCCAACCACAGAGAAGCCTCTGTTACAAAATGAATTCCAAAAACAATAAAGGAATGCATAGATCTAACCATTTTCAGGAGCAGAGTGTCAGCGATATGTAGTTGCAACAGACTGCAGAGAAATGTGCAACTCAAGTGTGTTGCGTGTAAACTCTGCTGACCTGGTGAAGACTCCAGAGGCCAATCCAAAGGGGCTGTTGTTGGCCCTCTTGATCACTTCCTCCTCTGTGTCGAAAGGCAGCACAGACATGACTGGGCCAAAGATCTCCTCCTTCACACAGGTCATTTCATCTCTGCAGTTATCTGTGCAGGGTTGGAAAGCACTGGATGTGAAATATGTTACATTCTGGGACATGCATGTTGTGTAAAGGAAGAGTGGTGCAGTGAAAAAGCGAATGTTAGGCTATAAAATAACTAAAACACGGTTAATTGGCTGCACGTCACCACCGCTAAGCTAAAGGCGGCTAATGAAGTTCAGGAATCTCTTTTGGTCGCTTGTTAGTAACTGCTGTTTTTTAAAGAAATGGTAATACATTCACCAGTGGAGGATTTACTGACATATTTTTTGTTGTGGAACAAAATGTGACTCGTAAGCTGGTCTTCACCACAGACTTTATTTCGGGCATCTAACCAAAAACCATTGACTTCAAGGCGAGGGAGCTGCTAAAATGCTAACCCATTTCCAGGTTAAGAACCCATTCCTGCACCACTCTAAAGAGGGTTACAAAATATCCAGGCAACCTGGAGAATATTCCAGGAGACTTACCAAGAACGCAGGGTGACATGAAGTAACCCCCTTTCAATTTAGGGTCACTGGGGACAAAAGGGTCTCCTCCACAGAGCACTCTGGCTCCCTGAAAAAAAGTGAAATATTAACTATGGAACTAAGATAAGCATATTAAAACCTCATATATCTGCTTCGAGGTCAGTTGCTATCATAGCTGCTTTATCTCAGATAAACACTCCTCCACAGTTGCTCAACTCTTCCTCAGGGATCATTAAAGTTATAAACACACCTCTTTCTTGGCCTGGTTGACATATGCCAGCACTTTGTCCAGCTGGGGCTTGCTGATCAGCGCTCCCATGCGGGTGTCATCCAGCAGGGGGTCACCCACAGGGATGACCTTGGTCCTCTTCACCACTTCTTCCAGGAACTGGGGCATGATCTCCCTCTGCACATACACTCTGGTCCCATTGCAGCACACCTATACAATGGAAAGAGAGCTTTTAAAGCTGTCAAAGAATGCACTTAATCAGATTGAGCTGGATACAACAGAGGAAGAAAGCTGACCTGTCCCTGTGTCAGGAAGTTTGCCATGAGTGCTCCCTTCACTGCGTTCTCCAGCTCACAGTCTTTGAAGATGAGGAGGGGAGATTTGCCCCCGAGCTCCAGAGTCACATGCTTCACACTCTTTGCAGACATCTCCATGACCTGAGGGACATGAAACACACGGGGCATTAACAACAGAAGCCTTGGAGAAGTTGAGCATATTCTGAAAGATTTACGACAGAAACGTTACTCCAATATATTTATGATTAGAATGGGAGGTAAAAACAAGGCCCGGCCCCCTCACTGATACTTTACCTCAGCCACAACGCAGACTCTATACGCATTACATTAATGCACACAATGTTCAAATATTGTTCAAATATTGCTTACTGCACATATTTCATATTCTATAATTCACTGCATTCTATTTTGCTGTAAATTACTGCTTTATTTTATTGCTATCTATCTATATATTTTTTACAGTGTTCTTAATATAGTTCGCTATCTGTGTACTTTTTTTATATTTTTTGTTTTATATTTTATGTATGCACCATGACCATCAAGTCAAGTTCCTCGTACGTGTGAACCTACCTGGCAATAAACCCGTTTCTGATTCTGAGGTGGATAGTGTAAAATACAGAGAAAAAACTCTTCTGGGATTAAAGAAAAAAACTATTTTATTTATTTGAAGTCTATTTATTAAAAGTCATGAATTTGAAAGAAAATAAATCTCAGCGATTAAAGTCACAAACTTAAAGAGAACATCATATGCTCATTCCCTGTCTTCATATTAGTATTTAGTGTCACTACTGTGACATGTCTCCGTGCTTTAATGTTCAAAAAGCTCTTTATTTTTCTCATAAGCCGCGTTCACACCGCAGTACTTTTCCCACTTTAGTTCCGATATAGTTCCGAAATGTCGCGTTCACACCAAAAAGAGCCGGAACTAAAATGAGTTAATGAGAACCTTTTTACCCCCTTTTCCGTCCCTGCTAGAGAGCAGGTACTTTCGTGGGAGAAAAAGGTTCCTATTTCTGATTGGCTGGGCGGAATGCAAACCACGCCCTGTAAAACTCCAAAAAAGTTTTGTGAAGCCACCATTTTATTATCCTCGCATTAGCATTATTAGCATTAGCATTAGCCCAGCGCACAAACGCAGAGAGACTAACTTATGGCAACACAAAAGAAAACATGGGAGCGGTGGAGATGAGGAGGTGTCGGCGTTCTGGCGATTTACTCGGAAGGCTTCAGTAGAAGCTGCTGGGAGTCCCAGCAGCTTCTACTGAAGCCAGTCCCCAACTCTGGGGACTTCCGGCCGGGGACTTCGGGTGGCAGTATATGCCGTGAAGTTGTTTGCGGCCTGCCAGTAAACCCAAAGCAGAAGAAGAAGAAGTGACGTCAGCGGCTTCATTTGCCTAATCCTCCCTCAGGGACTTATTCCGGTGTGAACGCGATCTGTACTTAGTTCATCAGAACTAAAGAGTTCTCATGAACTAAGTTCTCATGAACCTTTGTGGGAAAAGTACTGCGGTGTGAAAGCGCCTATAGTGCCTGTACTGCAGCACCTCTTTTCACCCTCTGTCTGAAACCAGAGCCCAGTCTGCTCTGATTGGTTAGCTGGCCGGATCTGTTGTGATTGGTCAACCACTTAGAGATGCCCCACCCCCATTACGTACAATCCCAGCCTATCATGTACAATATGTTGGAGCGCTAGCCAATAGAAATACGAGTGTTACATAGTGATGTCACTATGTTACAGAAGTAAACAAAGGAGTCCAATGGAGGCATTTCAGGCGTGTGGGAGTTTGTAGGAGAGAAACTCCCTCCAGAGGGAACAGACCATTTACATGCACAAAAGTCTATATAACACACTACAGGAGAGGGAAGACAGCATAATAGTGCCTCTTTAAATAGGATAGTCTATTTCAGGTGTGATCCTCCTGGCTTGTATGACACTCTTACTCTTCAGTCAAATGAAAAGGACATCATCTTAATAATCACAGCACTGTATTGTTCTCTGTACCTTCTTGCCTGTTGGCACACTGCCAGTGAACGACACCTTGGCGACGCCGGGGTGATTGCAGAGCAAGGAGCCGGTGTCTGCTCCGCCCTGTACCACACAGAAGAGCCCTTCAGGAACGCCCGCCTCTTTGTAAATCTCAGCCAGGAGGACCGCAGTCACAGGAGTCATTGGAGAGGGCTTAAACACCATGGCATTACCTGAACACAAGAGCATTTAACACTGTAATATATGGTTAACATAGCTGTTTCTGTTCAACAGAAACAAGATTCAAAGTAAGGCCTTTGAATCCATTGCCATATGCACAGTAGCTACAGTGTGGTTATGGTAATGACAAATCTTAAGTCCCAGGCTCCTCCAACAATGCAACATAATATATATAGGACATCAAGCAATAAATAAAACAGGGTAAAATACAATAGTGCACATTGAGGTTGCAAGAGTAATGGAGCTGAAGTAAACTATATAAATATTAAAAAATAATACAATAGGGTCAATAGGGTTGCAGAGAATGTTGTTAGTAACCAAATAAATGCAGGAGTCTTTATACATGTAAATAGAATAAGAGAGAAACATATTGCTGGACCTTCAGGCTGTGATGATTATAAGTCTACATATACAAGTCTTATAACATCGTGGTCACACACACGGTCACACACTCACCACATGCCAGAGCAGGAGCGGACTTCCATGCTGCGATCTGGAAGGGGTAATTAAAGGCTCCGATTCCCACACACACACCGAGGGCCTCCCTCCTGGTGTAGGCGAACGCTCCACCAGGAAGCTGGACGTGTTGGCCTTCAATGAGTCAAACACCACATTAAACACAACACTACCCCTTTGGAACTTTTAGAAAATCAAACGTGTGTTATTGCACCCACCTGCAAGAGTACCAGCCATGCCAGCGTAGTACTCGATGCACTGCCAGGCAATGTCAATATCCACCACAGCCTCAGTGATGGACTTCCCATTGTTGATCACTTCCAGTTTTGCAATCTTATCCCTTTTTTCCTATTGTGATTGGAAGGATAGAAAACAAATTGTTAACAAAACAAAACAAAACCATTTGATCAGTTTAGTGTTAATAAATGTATATAGGTTTAAAAGGGGGAGTTCAGGTTGTTTGAAGATGGGTTGTATGAGGATCAGTGTGAAACCTGCACTATATGACGGTTGGCACACACCCAGCCTGAGGGCAGTATTTCAGATAACACAGACAGGGATAACATCATAGAGGCTAACGGGTTAGTTTGTTTGTTTTGGTCAAAGTTTCCTTCGCTCAATTTCTATAACCCGCTTTTGACTCTTGAAAAAAAATTATAATTCCAAAGTGTTAACTTTCAAATAAATAATTTGTTAACAGTCGTGATGACTTGGAGGCTGGATTGATGTTATGTGGTATAGTGTTCACGTGCGGGTAACCAAATGAAATATATTAGTTTCACACACATTTAACAAAGAAAATATGCTTTTCAAAAGTAAAAAAAAAGATTAAAGATTATTATTAAGATTATGTAATAACTCTGACAAATTGAGGTTGAAATCCTAACCCGCATGACATGAAAGAGGTCGCACAGACACTCAAAAGGCTCATTATGTGCAAAAATAGGCCAACAGTAGAGGGAGGGGGGCATGTTTGTGCTTTAATGAGTAACTAGTGTCTTACTGCATGCTAGTCCGCTCCAATTTATGTTGCACAACACTGAAACGACACTGGCTAGTTCCCAGACTCACTCTGATGATGCGGGCGGCCTCCAACATGATCCGAGCCCTCTCCATGCCCGCCATCTTGCTCCACTTCAGGTAGGCAGAGTGAGCGCTCTTAATGGCCTCGTCCACCTCCTCTGATCCACAGGGGAACATCTGGCACAGGACACGGCCTGCGCATAGAAAGGATCAATGCAAGAATTGTGGGAACATTTCAGTTATTTCTGTAACTAAACTTTGGATCTATAAGGCTAGACAACTAAAGCAGGGGCTTTAAGTTTGAAAGAAAATTCTCACTCAGCTAACATCCTTTTTTAATTATTTTAGACCAAGAAGCAGTAGGACCAGAACTGCATATGGCTAGTTTTTTTAAATCACTTTATCTACGCTACATGTGCTAAGGTTTCATCTCTGGTGTTCTTATTATTTTATTCATTTGTTTTTATGCTTTTAGCATTATATTATGGTTATGGATGTTCATTATTAGTAGTTTGGACAAATCCATCTGATATTTTACCTCAGTAAAGGTAGTAACACCACACATGGGCTGATGTTAGCTTGTGATTTACACCCAGTGATCAATCAAGTTTATCTTAAAGGTGGGGTAGGTAAGTTTGAGAAACCGGCTCGAGATACACTTTTTGTTATATTCCATGGAATGCTCTTAACATCCCGATAGCAATGAATATCTTAAGTGCTTTGACAAAAAATCCATTAAAAAATGTCATCTGTGGAAGCCGTAGGACTGTAAAAAGCACGACCAATCATTTTAGCCGGCCCGGCTAAAATAACTGGATGGCCTACCTGCCTGTCAGCCTTCCATCTGTGCACAAACTTATCTCGTGCCCTCATTGGTCATGTGTGCGTTCGTGTGTGTTGGAGGAGGGGCTCTATTTTCTCCGGTTGTGTATTTTCAAATTCTAGCGATCTCGAGCCGGTTTCTCAAACTTACCTACCCCACCTTTAACCTCTTATCATACATGATATATTATTGGTTCATCATGTTTTGTAATAATGATCTCATTCTTTAAAGTGACTGAAGTTATCAAAGGAAATATTGTAGTAATTTTTACATTCCTAAATAAGGGAAGTAAAAAAGAAGACACAATATACAGTATGCATCTGATTTATATAGAGTATAAAGTAGCAGAAAGTGGAAAGAAGTAACTCAAAAGTGTATTTACGTAAAGTACTTGGGTAAATGTGCTTACCAGAGGTGGAAGGAGTACTCAAATATTGTACTTAAGTAATAGTAGAAATACCAACGTGTAGGAATACTATGTTACAAGTAAAAGTCCTGTATTCAAAATGTTACTCTAGTAAAAGTACAAAAGTATTGGCATCTAAATATACTTGATGTTATATATGTTTTGGTTATATAATCATTGATGTATTGATGTGTTTATCAAGCTGGTAAAGGTGGAACTTATTTGAACTAATTGTGAATTTAATCCAGGCGTATCGAAAGTGTTGATCCTATTGTATCCTATATCCTATATCTGCAAAGTAACTATAGGTACTACATTAATGAAGTGTAGTAAAAGTACAATATTTACCTCTGTATTGTAGTGGAGTAGAAGTACAAAGTAGCATAACATGGAAATACTTAAGTAAAGTAGGCCTACAGTAAATGTACTTAGTTACTTAAAACCACTCTTACTGACCACCACTGCAAGTAATCATGTTTAAATGGCAATAAAGTATTGAATCTTTACAATACAATCATGCAACCTAAACAAATTCAAATTGACTCTGTACCACCGAAGAAAATAACTAGGGAGTGTTTCTGTTATATAACAGCCTGTCCTCACAGTGACCCGCTACACAGGCTACAGACCTTTATAGTGTAGTCGTGTAGCATGAAGCAAATATGTATCTATGCAGGCCAGGGTAATATGGAGCATTGCATAATGAGCCAGACTTTAGCCTGCTGTATTTACCAGTGGCTGGTTCGAACACCGGCTCTGCGTTAGCCTGCTGCCGGGGCTTCACCCTCTGTCCCCCCCAGAAGTTCAGCGGCTCTGTGACCACCATGGTCCCCGTCGCTGTTCCGGGCAAGTCGAGGGTTGACTGCTCCATTTTTTAGAAGGAAAAGATCTGCATGGACACGGGGAAATACATTACATTAAATAAAAACACATTTGCTATGCAGAATATTTGATGGAATTGACTGCATGCTCTAAAGTTATTTGCTCGTGTGAAACTAGCACGAGGGCATGCAGCTTAACTAGCATGAGGAACACAAGCCGCTTTCATACATTCGCAGGTCAATATAGCAACGTTGTTACACTAGGAGAAACATGTAATCTTACCGTGTGCTTCAGCAGACGGACTGGAGGAAACAAGGGTAGAATAGATAACGCCCACCCTTCAATAAGCAGACAGGACGACAGGACACGCCTCCTTCAAACTGAATGAACCTTGGACCTATGACGCATCCCATTTATTTTGTTTGTCTCCTCGTCCGAGAGCAGCAACAGGGTGTCCTTAACACAGCCAAGTTACTGACTTATTTATAACAGCAAGAATCAGCTATCCTCTCTTTTTTAATGAAATCATTTTATATTTCCACAAAACTATAACAAACAATTGTCAGACAAAAAAAGGGTTTGTACTGAGGAATCAAATGTCTTTATTTGAAGACTTCTCTGTGTTCATAGCAGGATTTTGAGTGATCAGAAGCTGATCAATAGTGCAACCCATCCCATAGAACACAACATTTATTTCCCCCTGTAAATCACCCATGATGGAAGAACACAATTATGTTGCAGGAAGTACAAAACAGTCAGTTATCATAGGCTTATCCCGCATATTAATATCTCCAATCCCACCATAGTAGACCCAGGGTTCAATTATCGGTGTATGCTCCTTTAGAAAACACTGGTGGTCAGCAGGGATAAATAGATAAATGTGTTAAAGAAATGAAAAACACTACTAAAGAGTAATCATAAAACTTTATTATTATGTAAGAAATAAGAATACCAACAATGACATATAATAATACTGATAGATGGATCAGATGTTACAGTGCCAATTAATCATTAAAATATCCAAACAATGTATGGCATGAGCTGAATACAAGGTAGACTTTTGTATCCTTTGGTAATCATTAAGAACTAATTTTCGAAGTAAGACTATGTTAAAGTTAAATAAACAAAACGTGGATGAGGAATCCAACAGAAGGCAGAGAAACAGTAGCTGCAAAAGAGAATCCGTTTGTCTTGTGCTCTGTGATCTGAGGAGGGAGCCGTGTCTACAGGAGCAGCACCGTGAGACGCGTCTGATTGTTAGGAGAACTTGGCTGCTTGTGGGGGGGGTCCCAGGAAGCCTCCGGCCTGTTTGGTTGCAGCTCTGGAGGGCGCGAGACCGAGCATCTTCTGAATGTTCTGGAGAGAGGACACAGGAGAAAACATTTATTTTCTGGACACTGTGATGAAGTTCCTAGGTGTGTAAACACAAAACACTCAAACCTAAATCAAAAATGTCTCTGTTGCACAGGCTGATATGTTCCTTTATTGTGGTGAACATGGCCACTAAAGATTGTCTGTCAATTTTCAACTCAATCTGCTTCCATAGATACTCACTAAACATGAATGTGTTTTCAATATGAAAAAACATTGAAACTATATATCTTATTTTTGTTTTATTCACATGAGAATGGGTTAGGGGTGTCGGCACACTTGTTGGTTATGGACTTGTTTTGGCTCTCGGCCCCGAAAACTGGTTCGCATTTGGAACCAAGAAAATGACAAATACCAAGAACTGAATACGTCAGAGGGTTACATCGGAGGCTGGGGCCAGAGAAATAAGCAGTTCATGGCGAGTATGGTGTAGTAGGGCTGTGCAATTAAATCGTATTTTAATCTCGATTACGATTTTGGCTTGCAACGATTACGAAAACAACGTAATCGAAATAAAACTATTATTTTTTTTTTATTGGTTTTTCAGTTGAACTTAAAGTTCAGGGTAATCAACTGTTAAAAACATATTGTTCACATTTTTTTTTTCTCCAATAAATGGATGTTTTCAATGTAAATGGATAATCGTTTTTAATAATCGTGATATCAATTATTGACCAAAATAATCGTGATTATGATTGTTGCCATAATCGCACAGCCCTACGGTGTAGAAAATAAAGTTGTTAAAAGCAGTAGTGCTTAGATTACAAAGTGACTACACACTAACCAGGCGTAGTTTGATGCTGTTTATTTAGAGAAGTCTTTAGTCGAGCTCAGCCCTAATGTACTTGCATGCATTTTCTACTATTGTTGATGTGTACATTTGTTGGTCACTTATGTGGATTGTTGCAAGGACAGAATATGATATTTGTCTTGTTTTTTCTTCTCTGGTTTATCATCATGAGGTTTGGATGATCTGTACCAGCTGGTTGGTGTCACCAGCTGCTATTAAAAAGGCACCTAAGGCTGCCAATTGTATGTCTCCTTCTGCTGCACATTAAAAGTGCTACGTACTTATTTGAAAAATGCGAATGACGTTGTTACACTAAAGAAATGTTGTCCAGGTTACCTGTCTGATGGACATGGTGCAGAGGATGTAGAGGAAGATGAAGGAGCAGTCGGTGTAGTCCTCGCCCAGCAGGTTGCGGTGCGACAGTCCCTGGATGTAGGACAGCGGCGTGAACGGCAACTTGGCCACTACTCTCCCATCAAAGCTGAACAAAACAAAAAAGAGGAGAAAAAAGATTAGAGCTCAAGGGCATATTTGAAGAAATTGAACAATTCTGGCATAAAAAAATGTAGGCTATCACCATATGAAATTCTGTTTTATTTGTTTTTTTTAATCAAAAGGCATTAATGTTACATTAACCCGATATCATGACATGTTACACTTACATGGAGTTGAACATTCCCATCAGAGCGGTAAAGCAGAAGCCGATGGCAAACATGGACTTCATCCGCACCTACAAAACAAACACAAAACGGACATTTGAATTACATTTGACTTTACAATACTTTTTTTTTTATTCATCATGTAAAAGTTAGTCTGGATCAAGATTAAAAATGAAATGTCAGGCTTTTCTAACAGTGAAACATACAATACAATTAAAGTGCACCTATCATGCTATTTTTAGGCAATAGCATAGGTCTCAGATATATAGAAATATATAAAAAACATGTCTATGAAGTGTTTTGCTCAAAATACCAAACAGATCACCCATTCTAGCCATGCCTCATATCCCTCTATTTCACTTCCTGTTTCAAAAGTGCTGATTTGGGGTATAAAGCTTTAAAAAAAAAAAAGAAAAAAGGAGGGGTCTGAGCTCATGCGGGAGATTCTACCGGCATATACTGCTGTGATGAAACGCCATATCATGGATTATCAAGGATTATTTCTGAAACAGTATGGAGCTCAAAGGCCTTCTCTCTTGCCGGTTATACCACAAGGTGAGTTCCTTTTTATTTCCTGCTTCTTCACACACATGCTCTGTGCAGTACAGGTTAGCTCTGAGTGTTAGCGATGCTAATGTAAACACCGACCATATTACGTCCAAAACAGTCGGGCATTGTTTCTGATAGCAACGTTTCTGATAGGGCCGTGGGTGTAAAGCCAGCCTACATTTCCGATATTACGTCATATCGGACGCAAATCTGGATCAGCTCCGTTGTTTTTAGAGATTTGGGTACGGAGGAAAAGAGAGAGGGTTTTATTTTCTGACACTTTGTGAGTTCCCTGACACACCGGGGACACATATTTATGTATAAAAGACATCAAAAAGTGCATTTTGCGTTTTTTAGGACATAAAAAAAAGTATAATACAATAGTGTGATAGACATAATGTTTAAAGTAAGTTGCTCGAAAAAGAACTATCAATAAATAAAATATAATAAGATAAAACAGAATGCTAAATCAAATACTGTAGAATAAATATTGTGAACTGTAATACTATATAAATATGTCAAAAAAAAACAGCTGATCAATATATATATATATATATATATAGTTTATTTTAAACCCCATTCAAAACAACCAAAATCCCGATATGAGCTCCTTTATAGGACAATAAATGGATTTAGCTCTAACATATGAATTTTCTCTCACCATAGACAAGTCTCTGTTGTTGTTCTTCAGCTTCTCTTCTTGTCTTTCTGTAATACACAGAGTCATAGATCACTCATCAGTGTCCAGTTCAAGAGCAGAGTGTGTTTTCATTTGAAATGCATCAACCATTGGTTAAACGCAACTTATTACACAGTCAAATTGTTTACTGGCAACTTACCAATTTTCTTCTTCTGTTGACGTCCTGCAGATTCTGTGATGGTTTCCTTTTTCTTCTCAACTAATAAACAAGCAAAAGATAATGCATTAAAATATCTACAGGAGAGCAATACATGCAGAAATGACAGTAGTATGTCACTTACGTTTTTTGCTTTGTTTTTCCACTTCAGCCTTTAACCTCTTGTACTTTTCGGTACGATACACTAAAACCCAAGTAATACCTAAGGAGAAAATCCAAAAACATGTGAATTAAATAATAACAACACTATTTCCAGTATCTGACATTTTATTTAATGGATCAAACAACAAGAGCCATTGCTGTATGATGATCAACACATTTATTTCATAATATTCTACAAAACAGTTATTAAGATTTGCATACCCTAGAGTTAGGTGGAGGTATTATTTGTGTTTTTAATTGAGCAGTTTTATTGGACGAAGATTCATAATAAGCAGTGGATAGTAATACAAAACTGTAAAAACATTTTGTAGCCTCTTGTTTGTCAGTTTTCTTTCAAAGTCGAATTAAAATGCAGATGCTAAACTTAATACATTTTTAAATTATGCTTTAGAAAAGTAAATGCACAGGAAAATCAGCAAGTAAAAATTAAAGGAATATTGTTATTCTTTGATTTTCCTGTATTGAAGAGAACGTCAAATAAGAAAGGCCTACAGATACTTTAGATTTGTATTTATATCTTACTTAAATAGCATGGTTCAAATCCAGAGAACAACTTTATCATATGGAATAAATAAAGCCTACTTTAAACCAACATTACTAAAAGCGGTTCACACGCTTCACGAAAGATTCTTATTATGAAATGTTACCGGACGTTGTATTCGTTACGCTGTCTGACTTGTCAAGCATTAGCTTCGTTAACTAGCTAGCCCATTGCTAGACCTCAAACGCGATACAACTAGCAATTCATCAATAGTAATGACGTTAACCATATTTCCTTTATATATAATCCAGAATGGTTAATAGAAATAACGTATTAATATGTTTCCTTGACGGTAGTAACATGCGGTCTGCCTACGCTACCCGTCGGGCTGTCAGCAGGGTTCACTCACCCTCGGCTAGCAGCGCCGTACACACGGAGATGAACACGATGAGGATAGTGTCGGCGAACATTGTGCTCATGTTTCTGTAACCGCTCTGTTAAATGTTCCGTTTTTCCTACCGCACAGAGAATAGTCTTAATGCTCTTAGAGGTTACACCATGAGCACATTACACTTGTTTCTTAGGGCTTGTCAGCATTAGAGACGGGGTCATACGATGTACTTCCGGTTCACCGGTCTCAACGGTAATCAGATTACCGAGTGCAATAGATCTATATACGGCTCTGGTAAAAACAATATATATTTTATTCTCAATAAAACACTGTGTCATACAGGTGTTTATTTAACCACAGTATTTTTGATACTGCATTGTGAGGTTTCGTGCCAGTGGATTGGTTTACCGTATATTGCAAGAAAATGTGCACCGAAGAATCAGTATAAATGCTTTTATTTGAAATTTGGTCAAACTCAAATTAGGTGTAGGCTACAATTAAACAAACAAAATGACAATGTTATACACAAGGGCACAATAACACACAATAAGGACATTAAACAATACATATTAAGACATTTTACATATTTGTTGTGTTTTATGACTATTCTCAAGTTCATGTTACGTTTCAATAGTGTCTCATTTCAGTTTTGAATTGTGTGTGGTTTCTTTTTAGTCTATTTGCATTTTGAATAGGCTGCGCTGCAGTACTTTTTATTTAATAGAGATGTATTAGAAAAAAATCCTTTAATTTCAATATCAGAATCAGAATAAAGTTTATTGCCAGGTACATTTACACAAGGAATTTGATTTGGTGTATGATGTACAAACATAAAGAATCTGAGAAAATAAGTTGTAAGAGAAAGTCAAAAATATAACGATAATAAAAATAAACTATTTAGCATATTTAGCTGTTAAACTTAGGACAATGAACATATGAAAATCTATGACAAGCTACAGTTTATTATATTTAAAAGTGGAGGGCTGTCTGCAGAAAAGACCTGGGGCCTCATTTATAACGCCTTGCGTAGGATTGACGTGAGAAGGTTGCTTACGTAGTACAAAGCAAAAAAATAGGTACAGAAATGTTCCGACATTTTCCGATTCACAAAACATTGCGTACCGGCGAGGGAAGTGTGTACGGCACTTCCTACGCCTGTTTCCCTTTATAGAGTGGCGAAGTCCCTCCCACTTACTTCCGGGGTATGGGACCTTATTTCCGAAAAATTATGCATTGAAGTCAATGGGGAGAGAAAACTTATCTTTCGATCCCGTTTGAATTGTGCCATGAATTACACATATGATGTTTGTCAATCTTAAAAAATCATTTCCATGTCAAAAAAGTCACAGTTTGTCTTAAAACTGTTGAAATATAAGACTTTGAAAAATACGAAACTAGAAAGACTACAAATCCCAGAGTCGCGTAAGTGATGTCACAATTGAGACACTACGATACACGTATAATACCGTATATATACGATCAGCGCCATATAGATAGAATCTATCTATATGGCGCTGGCTAAGATAAGATAACTTTCACAAGATGCCTGTGTGCTTAGTACCAGGTTGTTATTATACCAGCAATGGGTCTTGCTTGTTCTTTCGCTTCCCGTCTGATGAAAGAGGAGTGTGTAGATCAAGTTAGCTACCTAGCTAGTAGCTAGCACGTTAGTTAGCATTACAGCCTTGTCATTTTTATTAGCCTTAACATGAAGTAACATTAAGTAACCCAAAATGTTAAACAGTAAGAGTAGTAGTCATATTTCGTGAACCCTTTGAATAGTACTGTCACCGGTGTGATCATTCTATAATACACAATTTAAGCCCGGGGGAGAAATGCTAACGCTAACGCTAGCGATCTTCTCTACTTCATGCTATCTGCACAAATGGTTGACATTAAACATTAAAACGACCGGGCAGTTCAGAGAGAATCAAAGGAAGGCAGCCAGGCAGCTTTGCATGACATTCTTCAGGACGTGTTTCATTGTGGTGATAGTGTGAGGGTAGCCAATCGGTTTGTTGACAGTAGTGACGGCCATCTTGGTGACGTGTGTTGTTCTGTGAGACCAGAGATGTAGTTCATTGAGCGGTTCACACAAAAAAATGTGTTACTTCACAGTTTTACGACACATTTTATTTTTTTTTACTTGCAAAATTATCTTTTAAATTGACAAACATCATATGTGTAATTCGTGGCACAATTCAAACGGGATCGAAAGATAATCTTTCTCTCTCCATTGACTTCAATGCATAACTTTTCCGAAATAAGGTCCCATGGGGCTCAACCGGAAGGGGAGGGACTTCGCCACTCTATTAATCACAATCGACTCGAAATGCGGCGCAGCTTTTGCAGGCTTCACGTAACGCCCATATTTGCCTATAAATAGTCAAAGAAACGCCCATTCATTTTGACTGACTGCATCAAGAAGATCGCAGGAAATTACGACCGAACAGCTAAAAAAGACATCTCACACCGTGTCAGATTTTGGTTATTTTGGGGAGGTCGAGATAAATCATATTGTTTGGTGGATGCAGTTTGAACCAGAGTAGCAGCATGGAGGTCGGATCGTCACCAAAATGGTCCGAAAAAAGTTAATGACAAAAAAAATACACATAACCTTCCTCATGCAGTGTGTTTGTCCCGGGGACAGGAGACACCCCCTTGATGAGAAACTCTAAGAAATGATCGGGGAATCCCTCCGGAGTGGAGTCATGACGACTGGATCTGAATTATTTTGTTGTATTTGGTGGTTTGTGTTCCAGCTGTCGATCAGCAACTATATATCCATAATCCACCAGTTAAAGGAAATACAACTAATGGGTTGTGTTATATTAGCTGTACAATTTACCACATAGGTGTTCTTAGTTTCCATACCTCCTGTGTTTTACGAGCGACTTATCAAGTCTTGGCAAACGGCATAAAACACGATTAAACGTGATAGTATATAAAACCATGCTCGTATCTACAACCTATAGAAATGCAAAACGGCGTCAGTTTAGACGTAATTCTGTCCTCCTGCTTACCGCATCATTTATGAGAAAACATTTCATAACATTAACACAACATATTCGAGGTGGTTTTAAATAACATATCCGTATTTATTTATTTCTCCAAGTTATGTTTTTGTGTGCACTGAGGAGTCGCAAACAGGCGTTTGTTTAATCATTTTAAGATTGGCTTTAATCAATGTTTGAAAATGAATTCTTCATATGATAAATGAGAGGTAACATTTATTTATTTCCACATATTTCTCTCCATTCTTCCTTCTGCCAACGGTGTCGCAGTTTCTCGTCTCTCCCGTTGTTGTGCTTAGTGCGTACGCATGGGTTACAGTTTGCGTGGAGGACCGCACATTTTCCCGTCAAGTTAGTATTTTATAAATCGCAAACATTGCGTAGAAACTGGCGTACGCCATTTTTGAGCGTATATCCCTTTATAAATGAGGCCCCTGAGCATAAACATGTCTCAGTATTACAAATATATGTTGTCTCTACACAACAATCTCTTTATTTGTATTTGTATTATGTTATGCTAATTTAATGGGCTCCATATATTTTCACTTAAAAAAACAAAAACAGATGGCAGTCTCAGTTTTGTTATTGCAAAACACACATTTTCCATCAACGTGTGTGTGATGATAATTTTCTCCGTCAGCCTCCTCCTCACCTTCAGCATCATCATCAGAGGGGAGGAGCGCACAAGGAGTGTGAGAGCGCCGCAACCTCGCGCTGCTGCAGATGAAGCATGGCAGGCGACCGCGAGACAAAGCCTGACCGAGCCGAGCATGAGCGCGTGCACCGGCAACCCTTCCTCATCGGGGTGGCTGGAGGGACCGCCAGCGGCAAGGTGGGCTCCCTTCCATAATTAACAACAGAAGCGTTGACATGTTTGTGTGTTTATCAGGTGGCTGTCGTGCTAGAGATGACACCTTATTTTCATTTGGAATTTTGAAGATGACGTGCCTAATTTTCTTCGGGATAAAAACATATTTGCTTCACGATAAATTAGACTGATTGTTAGCTACTTGATGAGCAAAGAAGTCGGTAGCAGATCAGAGCAGGATAACATGTGCATTGTCAAAATATGTTTTTTTTTAGATGGTATAAATTAAGTGTCATATGTAAATCAGACTTAAAGTCTTCCAGATATTTTCCTTTTTTTAAATTAAGGGGAATATAAAGGGTGGCTGTATGAGAGTTAAAAGAGACATTTCACTTAATTAGCATCAGCTGCACCGGGTCTGCCGGCTGATAGCACGTGACACTTGGAGAATATCACACTTGCCACTTAGATAATAATCATACAAAAGATACAGACCTTAAAAGACCTCAATAAACGTACTAATTGTATAGATATCCTTTTTAGTTCTGATCATGATGATTCCATGACCTGGTATCTTCTTTGTCCTACCTCAGTCTCAGCTCAGTCTGATTCTCCCCTCACCTAATTTCACCGGCTGGCTCACTGACTTCATCTGTCCACATTGTCAGGACATGTCTGCAATATCTGAGATATCACTCCTGATCTGTATTTAATGTTGTGCAGTAATTCAAGGGTTTTCAGAGAGCTTTCAATAGGTGTTATCCTCACTGAAGATCAGAAATGATGCAATAGTTTTATATTTTGCAGAGATCATGACACGCACATCAAGGGGAAAACATTTATTTATTTTCTCTCAAAGTGTAACCAATGTGATGTATTTATTATTTACAGGGGTCGAATGTAACCAAGTACATTTACTGAATGTCTGTACAATTTTTGAGATGTTTTACCTTTTCTGCTGCTACTAGAATATTGTACTTTTTAGTCCACTTTAGCTACTTCTCAGATAACAGTTTTCTTCTCCTTCATGTCCAGGGAAAATCGTGTATCTCCAGATGTGGATGTTGAATTTCTAGGTTTAGATTAGGTTAAATATACATTTATTGATCCCAATTTTGGAAATGTTTTCATCACAGCAGCATGCACATGAAATAAAAATTAAATTAAGAGATTAAATAGAACAAAAATAAAGAGTAAATAGTGAAAAGATGTATATTCATAGAGTATCTCTATAGAATATACAATATAAATACACAGATTGGCGTCGGTGTACAGTATGAGGCCAACCTACAACTAACAAGTAAACAAAAGATACTATTCACATCAAGTGTGCAAAGTAATTGTTTTTGAAATGGATTTAAATATTCAAGGTTATGTGGAAAAAAACATTGACACAAATCTGAAAACAGGGCTGT